CAGCAGGTGACATCTGGACTTACATGTTATTAAACGTTAAGCGGTGATATTCTGGCTCTTTTTAAAGGGCTCCTGGTGGATGTTGCTAGCTAACCAAACGCTGCTTCGGTTTTAAGCTAGCTGCTTCAGCTGTCCGATTGGCAAAAACAGCAAGCTAGCCGATAAACAGGTTTACTGAAACTTTAGCTTTGTGTGTTACAAATGTCGAACTCCGCTGAAATTACGCTCCCCCTCGAATGGGACGACGATGAGCGGATGAATTTTATGTTCTCCGACTTCAAGGAGAACCGAGACGTCAACACTACGGACTGGGACAGTAAGATGGACTTCTGGACGGCTCTGATCGTGAAGAGCTGCAAGGACCGCCGCACCGTCTGTGTCAATCTGCAGGAACTGAACAAAATCTTCAAGAGAAAAGAAAAGTCACCGCTTGGCTTGGCTACTGTCATCCAGTCCATGGCCACGTAAGTGAATCTCTGCCCCCCCCCCCCCCCCCCCCTCACTAAGCCTGCCAGTCTGGGTCAGTCTACTTAGATTGTCTGTATTTTTCTTTTTCGGCGGACAGATGCGGGAAGATCCAGAGGGAGTCGGAGTTTGCTGCTAATGTGGACTGTGGCTGGTTGTCCTGGGGTGTGGGTCTGCTGCTAGTGAAGCCTCTAAAGTGGACCTTCTCGGCTCTTTTGGGTAGCAGCCGGGTGCATTTGGAGGAGTCTTTTGTCATCATTGAACTAGTAAAGGTTTGTTGTTCTCATTAAAGTTCACATATTCATAGCAGCTGACATCCATACATTCAAGCCACTGAGATCTTTACATTTTTAGTTATACTGTCAATAACTTCTCTAAGTTATTACTGTGCGCATTTCTTATCTTGATCTCCCATAATGCACTTTAAGTTTCATATTGCAGTAGATGTCAAGCCCTGATGCTGCATATTAGTGAGCCAAATTAAATGCATCTTGCATATTTTGAATTGCAGCTAGGATGAGGGATTTCTCTTTCCATTTCTCCAGTATTTTGCAGCCATTAAAATACAAAATTCTCTTTTTGTTCCCCAGGAGAAAGCAGCAGAATTACTCAGGGTCTATCGCAGCAGTGAATTTTCAAGCTGCTCCATTGTGTCATTTCAAGATCTCTGCACCCTCTCCTCTAACATCTGTGCTGATGAGGGCACCCTATGCATGGCGCTCCTGCAGCTGCAGAGGGACAAGCAAGTCATGGTTTCGTTGCACGAAGGCGAGAAGGTAAGTCTGCCCACCATTAACAATCTGCACATTTAACATTTTCAGCGACATCTTTATGTAAGGAATCTCTCTGTCCTTGTGTGTTTTCTCTTACAGATTGTTAAGTTTTGTCTACCTGGACAGGACCGCGTGTCTGCGGTTAGTGACGTGGACATAGGCATCTATCAGCTGCAGCGCAGTGAGAAACTGCTTGGAGAGCGAGTTGAGAAATTGGGCCTCGAGGCTGACAAGTAACTCACATTTTATAATAAACGATTGATTTGGTTTGTGTGCTACTCGTGTCATCAGATTTCTTTAAATTTTATTTTATTTTTTAGGAACAGTGATTCAGAAAGACAGATTGTTGCTGAAATTGCTTTACGTGATATAATTGCAGGTGCAAAGAGGAAGCAAGGATTCTGCTGCGGGAAGGGAAGAAATCACAGGTTATTACTAATGTTGACTGTTTAAAAAAACCAAAAAAAAGTCATTTAAGCACTTGCAACCAAATATGCGATGGCAGTCACAGCACCTATTTATGTTTGCTGTCAATCCAAAAAGGCACTGAGGTGTTTGAGAGGTCGCAAGAGGGTAGAAAAGAGAGCAGACAACTTATTTGCCAAGCTGGAGTCCATCAGGGAAATCCTGGATCGAATAGCCCAGTCACAGAGTGATAAGATGGTAAGGGCAACACTAACAGGAGCTGCCACAGCCTTATTGTACAGCTGTTTATAACCAAGCTGGTTGTTGTCTCATGTCTTTAGGTTATGCAAGCATATCAGGCTGGAGTGGCTGCCCTGAGGCTCTCTCTCAAAGACGTGACTGTGGAGCGCGCTGAGAGCCTTGTGGATCAAATCCAGGAGGTACACAACTTCTTTTTATGTTCAACTTAATTGCATGTTTTATTATTTTTAAGTAGGACTCATTATGATGTGTTCAGAATTTGCAAACTGATGATGACACACAGCTCTCCCCTACATAAGCTGCCTTTTATAGGTTAAAAGTAGTGGTATCAGTGCTGATATTAGATATACTTAGGGATGGGAATTGATAAGAATTTAGCAACTCTGATAACATTATCATTTCTCATTGGCTCCACTTTGACAGTCACCACCATCTCTAAAGCAGCATAACAAAGCACCTAAAAAGGGAACTGCTTCAAAAAAAACTCCAACAAAGCACAATTCCTGCTAAATATGAAAACAACAAGTAAATGTGTTTTCACTGTACAAAAAACATCACTGAGTACAAACAGGCCATGGCGGAGGAGATGATAGCAACTAGGAATGTGCAACTCTGAAAAATTACTGATGTGATCACATCCCAGGTAGAAAATACTTTTCAGTGTTATTATATGACAGCATGGTTAAGTTACTTTAATTATTGTTGGACTAAAGTCTTAAGTGGTTATTTTATACTTTTTCTTAAAATGTACATGTGGACTGACCTCATAACTTGAAACTTTAGTCATAATTAATATGAGAATGCATCACTCTAACAATATATGAATGACAAAAACATAAGGAGAAGGCATAATAGATCCACTTTAGTTAACTCCAGCATTTAACGATCTTCATGTATCCTCTCTGTAAACAGTTATGTGACACTCAAGATGAGGTGAACCAGACTATATCCAGCGGTGTGACTGCTGCAGGTAAGTCATTCTGTTTGAGCTGTATCTACAAGATGCTTTATATCTGATTTTAATAGAGCTCTAAGTTAATCATGTCTTTTTGTGTTTTTGTTCTGTAGATGAAGACATGGATGAGCTGGAGGAAGAACTGAAATCTTTGTTGAATGATTCAAAGCCAGATTCCGTCTCCGGTTTACCCACAGTCCCAGCAACCAATCTGCAGCCCTCTGCTGAGTCCATCCTCAGTTCTCTGCCCGACATACCTCAACGCCCCTTGAATATTAGCACCGAGCAGCTGGAGGAAGAATTAAATCAGTTGACTCTTACAGATTCAGGTTTGCACTTTGAGTTTTGTTCTCTATCCAGCTTTGTTGTAAGTCTTTTGAAATAAAACACAGTCATTTCTCTGTCCAGGCTTTCAAAAGAAGAAATTGACATCGCCAGCCAAGATATTAGATCCTGCACAGTGACGGAGCAGGCAAGACGTGGCAAGCCTGAAGGTCTTCATCGCATATCAAGACAAAGTGAAGCTCTTAGAAATTAAAGCGAGTTCGTACAAGTTAAAATAATACTCAGTAGTGATTTGAGGGATTGTGAAGCCAATACCACGTTGACAACAAAGCACTTTCTGTCATTTGTCGTTGAAAAAAAAAAATTTCCTTATTGTGGGGGCATGCCAAAAAGGACTTTAAAAATATATATATTTCCCCCTCTGTGCACTTTTTAACTTGAGCGCTTTCAAATGCTCTCAAGTCAGGAGTGAACGTTTTAACCCCTTGAAACTGGTTCTTTGGTATGTCACCACTAGGACATCATTTTATGCTATTTTTGAGAAGAGTAAGAAAACAAACTGTATTTGTTGTTTATTGTGTGTTTATTATTGTGTGTAAATGTCCATCAATAGCAGTCCTGTAAAGTGCATTAAGTGGCCTTTTGGATTGTAAATATGAACCTAAAAGGAAAGAGAATGTTATGCCAAATGATTTATAAAAACTGCATTTAGTCTCAATACAGAGTACCTGTAAAGACTGAGAAAAGCCTACCTTAAGTGAGTTTAACCAAATATGCCATATCAAAAATAAAATTTATTTTAATCACTCATCTGTGGTGCTCATGCGTCGGTCCCTGTGCTCAGGCTGTGCAAAGGAGACAGTTAGTAGTTGTTTGGAGCCGCCTCTGGAATAAACGGAGAATAAACAAGTGTAATTTGAATTGGGCAGACATAAAGCATTTTTCTATTAGAATTGACCACAAAAGCACTCTGGACTGGGTAGGGAAGCCCGCACAGGAAGGCCCACTAGGAAATTTACTTCTTGCATCAAATATGACCCTAAATATAGTTGTACTGTAAATATTTAGGAAATTACTAGCTTTTCCAAAACTTCTGTCACACAGTATCCACTCGTCAGCCACTTTAACAGGACCTCCTTTGAGTACAGTGAACCTGCTGGAGGCAGCCATCAGACTATAGGTACACTGTGGTCCTGGTCAGCAACAATACTAAGGATAGGCTGTGGCACTTAAAGGATGCTCAGCTAGTACTAACAGGCCTAAGTGTGTCAGTAAATATCCTGCACATTTTCACACCACCACAGGCTCAATGGATATATTCATGCTTTCATGTCTTTGTGCCAAATTCTGATCCTATTATCATGTTACAGCAAAACTCGAGACTCGTAAGACTAAGTATACATTTAATCTTAAAGTAACATTTTTGCCCTAAGAACTGGTTCTTACAACCAAATCATTGAAGTAAAATATTATGTTTTACAAATGTTTTTTTGGTCTATGACTTATGTTTTTAAGGTATTGTTTACATGTAATGCAGTCTTTGTTTTCATACAGTGACTAATATCCCTTCAGTGACATTTTCTTTTAAAAATTGGGACACCTAGTGTCTGGTAGAAGTACATACACAGGTAAGTATAAAAAGGCAGATTTTTTCCTGATGTGATTCAGTTTTTATTTTTGTTTAAATCTAAGAACAACAGACTGTAAATGGGTCTAGCATAACAATGGTATTGTGAGTTATAGTCATGTGACTGCATGGCTGCTGGTGTAGACAGGTGTGCAAAACAGCCACAGTTTGGATCATGGAGAACACTTTCAGTGTGGCCCATCAGCCACTAACAGAAACCCAGTAACCCTTTGAAAAAAATCATTTATTGTTTATTGTACTGTTTTGTATAGTACACCTTACAGTGAAAAGCAGATTATTTAGTGATTTTAATTACCGTCACATTGGTGGTGTAACTACAGTGAATATCTGAGGTGTTGTTGTACTTTCTATTGAGTCCTACAATCAATAATAAATAAAAAAAAAGGAATTCATTACAAATGTACAGCTTTTATAAAGTACAATTAATAATATCACAAAAATCCTATTACAGCAGTGTTTTTGAAAAAAATGCCCTTGCATGACAACATCAATGGATAAATGTTGAAACTAAAATTTAGCTGTCACAGTGGCTTACACTGTCTCTCAGAAACACGCACTCGCTGTCGCTCTCTCTCTCACGCCTATTGCTGTTTTTCCCAGTCAGCAAAGGAAAAGATGAGAGTCCAGTTTTCACCTTCGCAACTGCCAATCGTCTAATTGCATATTACACAGCTCATACCTACAGGGCTGTTATTATACTGATATCACAAGCAGATGAAAGACATTCAGGGAGTAATAGTTTAATTATTTCAGCTCTATCCTAAGCAGCTGCACACAGCTTGTTATACAGTTTGTTGATATGTCCAGAGAAGATGAAGAAGACAGAGATATGTAAATATAACTATTAGCCATGACTACATTATGGAGCTCGTGTATGGTAAAACTGGTTCAGCAGGCACTGATGCAGATATTTGGCTAAGAATTTGTTGTGTGCACCATGTAAGACAGAATGAAGTGAAAGCCTAAGCAAAAAGTCAATGTGTGATAGTACAAGGACTCACTGGGGTGTACAGTAAATAAACATTTGGCATGCTTTATAGTAGTCCATTTCTACTGTATATGAAAAAAAACAAAAGTCCTAATGGAATACCATCACCAAATCATAATATACTTTCATAGTTTCTTTTTTAATATTGCAGTGTTGCGTCAAAAGCAGGCTACAAAGTGGTTCAGGCTGCTTCTTGTTCTTGCAGTGTGGTGTGTATACAGTAGATGTGCATTTAAGGTGCAGGTTTGCAGTGCAGTGTTAAACTGTCCTGTCGGCTCCCGAGCGCTTCCGAACAACCTTCTCCTCGTTGACCTGGTCCACTGCCAGAGTCTCCACATCCGCCTGTGGCGGAGCCAAGGGAGGAGTGCCATGTGGAATGCGGTGTGCCACGCCCACGTGAGCCCTGTACTGACGGTCCCGTGCGGGGCTGTGTCGCGGACTTGCCGTAGCGCCCAGTGGAGGAGCATGTGAGCGCTCAGGGGCAATGGGAGGGATGACAGCAGGCCGCTCACGAACTACCTGTGGTTCAGGAGACTCTCTGCCTGCCTGCAAGAAGGGTGTTGGGTCAGGCATGGCATCCACTGTCTCCCGCAGCACCATCCGTCTACCGTCCGCTCCAAGGCGATACACCTCTGTCAACTCTGGATGTAGAGGCTGGGAGAGGCTCTTCTTCATGCGGCGACGTGGGGTTTCAGGCTGCCTGTCCTTGGCCGGTGGAGGCGTGGGCTTGTACGAGGTGACAGGACTGGCGTTAGGGCTGGCCTCAGAGGAACTGCTGGCTAACAGCTTTTTCTTAGTGGCATGTAGTTGTGAGGTAAGGTAAGCAATGGTACTGGCTCTCTGCTCTAACTCCCCAGACAAAACAGCCAGTTTATGGCTCTTCATCTTAAGTTCCTCCAGGTACTTCTTTTCTCTCTCTTTGATGGTGTTTTCCAGGACAGAAATCATGGCGTTCTTTTGCTCCAGGTCCCTGAGAAGCTCTGTGTTCTCCTCCTCTTTCTTCTTCAACTGGGCCTCCAGCTCCTCACACCTCCTTTGCAGCTCCCTGCATCGGGCCTCGCTGCTGTCTGCACACACAGAAAAAAACCCAACAGCTCTTACATGGAGTACTGTGCAAAAGTCTCAAGCCACCCAACATTCCTTTATATGTTGACAGGAAAATAGGAAATAGTGCAGCAATTACTGAAAGATGCAAACATACATGTAAATACAGAATAAAAGGAAAAATAGTTTGATAATTCTAACATGAAAGTCAATATTTGATATGACCACCTTTATTCTTCAACACAGCCTGAACTCTCTTAGACAAGCTTTCTTGAAATTTTCTTTAAGCAGTCTTAATAATGTTGAGGTCTGAGCTCTAATGAGGCCAATCCATTCTATGTTTTTCTATCCAACTATGCTTTGACTGCATTAGCAATCTGTTTGGGATCTGAAAAATAAAGAAAATAAAGCTGTTGCTAGTACGTTGTTACTCCAGATGGTGCTGCAATGGTATTCTACTTTTCTGCTTTCATAATTGCATCAATTTTGATGAGATCCCAAACTCCACTTGCTGAAATGCAGCCCCAAACCATGACAGAGCCCCCACTGTGTTTTACGGCTGTAGACAATTTCTGTTGTCCCTCTATCCTGAATACCTCCGTACATACCGACAATCATTTGAACAAAAATAAATAAAATAAATTTTAAAGAAATTTCAAGTTTGGAATCATCACTCTGTAAAGACCTGTTGCCACTGACTATCAGTCCAATTCTTCAGCCTTTTGTCCTCATTTCCCTTGCTTAATAACAGCTTCTTGACAGACGCACTTCCACTGACATCATTTCTGATGAGGCTTCAGTGAACAGAAGATGAATCAAATGAAGAGTCAGATGCATCTCTCAGGTCTCAAGACAGGTCTTTCTGTTGGAAACGACTTTCAGATACTGTTTATCTAGTGTAGATCATTTTTAAAACCTAACATTTCTTCTATCTGTCCTCTGCTTGTTCAGTTTTAAGGACACTGCACACCATTTGGTTTAAAATGGAGCACTGTAACAAAAAATAATTTCCCCCAGGGATCAATAAAGTATTCTGATTCTGATTCTGATGCTGAGACATGCCAAGTTTTCAGCTAACAGCTCTTTGGGAATCACTTTGTTGGTGCAAAAATACTCATGTAAATCTTAACTCTCTTAAACTGTGTAGTCTTTGGCATTTTTCATTTACACAACTAAAGAAACTGGAAGAAATTTTGTGTTGTTGTGACTGCTAGTAACAAAGTGCCTAAAGATACAATTTAAAATAGCTTCTTTGCTGGTTCATCCCTTGACTTAGCTACCATTTTTATGCTTGAATGATTAATGACAAAATAAACAAACAAAAAATAACAACAAACCACCACTTTAAAAAACTACAAGAAAGTCTGGCTCCTTGGCAGCAAAATATTAAAAATGACTTAAGAGTATATATATATATATATATATATATATATATATATATATATATATAAAAACAAAGACCACCGGACTAATCATTAGTGCATTAAGTGCAGACGCTGACTATAGGCTGACAGAGATGGTATGATCCTACAGAGACTCATCTGCAGTGGGCAGAGAGCTCCTGTCTCACATTACATCTCTGGTAGACAGAGTACTCCCATGTGATCTCCATCACTGCTGCCCCCACCCAGCCTTGCCCCACCCAGGTACAATCAATGTATAGCTATGTTTGTATATGTGCAAAAAATATGGAATGAAGCACATTTGTGTATTTTTTATTCAGTAGAAATCCTCAATCCTTTGCAATTCCTTCATTTAGTCTAATCAAATACAGGGGTGGTTACAGCAATGTTATATCATTTTTTTCACTTTCTGAAGGAGGGGCTGGTACATGTTTGCTACAGCTAGAACAGCTGGGCCCTGCTAAAGTGAGCATTTAGCAGTGTGTGCATTAGTGCTGTGACACATAATCTCATTTCCTGCACTCCAATCTCTGAGATGTCCCCCACTAACATGATAGTGCTTCTGACTGGAGGCCTTGACAATACTGATTGAGGCTGGGCCTTTAAGGACACCAACTACGTAATGTGCTCCTGGTGACATACTCACTTGCACACATCAGTGTGGCCATCAATAGTTTGTACATAAATTAAATTGTATTCCGCCTATCAGGTGCCTTTGAGGCTGAGCTGTGGAGCAGCATGTGATTCAGACCAGTGATATCACTCCATGTCATGGCCCTGGTTTTATGGGGGAGGGGCAGGTGGCAATGAGCAATGGGAGCTGCAATAAACAGCAGGGAGGCCCACACTGCAATACTTCTTGGGTGGGAACAGGGAGAGTGCTGTGCTCCCAGGCCTGTCCACTGACACAGACCTCTATTTCAAAGGAAAAAACACTGATTTACAGCCTTTACTGCTGTGGGGGTTTTGTGCTGCACAGTTTGAAGTAGTTACAGAAAATGTAATATATCATTCTAAAACCCAAAAGACAAAGAATAAAAAAATATTTTACCTGGGGGAAGTGAGTATAATTTGAAACAGTTTTTTTAGCTTCTCTTGTCAGAATACCAGTGTCATGTCAGAAGATTGAACTAATAAGACTGACTGGTCTAAAAAGAAAAGGGCTAGACCAAAGGGCTCACACTGGGAAAAACAGTGTGTAAAGCATTAGCAGTAATCACCTTTCCACAACAAATTAATGGCATCGCTAACTCATGACAACAACGCTGAATGCCAGTGGTATAACTGGTGCTTGTGTACTACAAATGATGCTTACCTGAGGGATCGGAGCTTCTGATAGTGAGCTCATACGTCAGGTCTATGAAAGAAAAAGAAGAGGGTTATTTACAATGCCTGCGCTACATGAGGCTAGAACAGGGCAGCTATCTAACAGCATGCTCCTCACATACTAATTAACAGCAAAGCAAGTTTGGGGAAAACATGTCTGTGCTTTCCATATGGCAGTGTCCATTTAATAAGATTAGTGAGAGCTCATCGTCAGCTTTAGTAAACAGGTTAGCCCTGGATACAGGAAGTCAGGGGCAGATCATGCTGTTTTCTCCTTTTCCTGGGCGACCATATTTATGTCTGCTGCGTGTATCTATTACTGCCAGTAAGTCGCCATATTTTTTCAGACATATTTAGCACTGGAAACGCATCATCTTGCTGACCTTTAGTTCCAGGCATAAGCTTAGGTTCAGCAAAAGCCTCTGTTTTAAATTCATGAGCACTCCCTACCACAGTTGAGATTAAATGTGTTGGTCTTCCACAGCAGCGTGAAGTCCTACTTGTGGCCCTTCTCACCTGTGCACTGCTGCTGTAATCTGCGGATCTCTGCATGCAGCCCCTTTAGCGTGTTGGCGTGGTCCTGCTGGAGGAAGAGCAGGTTTTTCTGTGCACTCTGCAACTGATTTTCCAGTGTTACATTTGCTGACGCCATGGTGGATTTTGTTCGGACACACAACTGGCCTCGCAACCTCCAGGCGGACATGACAGAAAGGAGACGAGGTAGAGACAGAGAGAGTAAAAAAAAAAGAGAGACAGAGAAGAAGACCATAAAAAAAGTAATCACATCAATTCTCACCCATTTGGCTGTAAACGTGAGATTTAGGATATGGTCTAACTTTGCTTTCTAAGCAAACCAGCCAATACGGGATGATACCATTAACCCCATTTACAAAGAAGGGCATTTTACATTTAAACTGATCATCCAAAGGCAAAAACGGCAACTCTGTTTGTTGTTTGTTATGCACAGTAGCTGTGTCGGATATCATTATTGCCTGGGTCAATGCTAGAATAAGACTATAGCAGAGAAAGGCCAGTAATGGCTTGCTGTACTTAACGACCAATCACTGAAATTAGGCTATTGATTTATAATACAGAGTGGGCCCTGCTGGCCTTAAAAAAGGCATCTGAAAGGTAACACTAATCTAATACGTACTAATGCAATTTACATATTATCTTGTAATTTGATAAAGCGACGCAGTGGAAATGTTTTTCCTCTGTGAGAGTCTTTCAAATTCAGAATATCTAACAGACCCCAACAGTGAAACAGCATAACATATGTCTCTATTACATAATGCTCTCATTAAGTGTCCATAACACCATCAGTCATAACACTAAATCAAAGCTGAACACATTAACAGATGTCACGGTGAGTGACACTGGGTGTGGCTTGCCCCACCTTCTTCCACACTCTCTTCACTGAACATCCTTGTCTCCAGAGGCGAGTCTCAATATCTCCACCCTCTGTTAAACTGTGCTGAGGCTTCAGAGAACACTGATCTCCGCTAAAATCCCCTCCTGTATACAGAGGCAGCCTCTGACTGCAATCATAAGTGTGTTTCAATAAAACATCTCTGAGCTTCCCACTCTTACATCATCTAACTTATATGAATAATACATCCCATGCACCTGACCTAACATGCTCCCTAGTTTTAGCTCTCACGCGCCTGTGTGTTTTTGCCATGAAAACATGTGATAACCAAAACACAGCCTGGCACATACAGCTGGGGGTGTGTCACAAAGGCTGAGGAGATAATCTATTATTGATGAGTAATGTGCGGTCCTTCCGGTAAACCCTGCGCTGCAAGCATATCTCTCATCCCATCTCCTTCCTAGAATAGCTTTGATAGCTTTCCGCTTGCAAAGACGTGACCTCTGCCAACTTTAGTAATATGGCTCATGCCATAGCATGGAGGTGATTCAAAAAGTGTATGGATGCTCAGTGAATTAAAGAAAGACAGTTCCTCTAAGATGTAAATCCTTGCCATTTGAACGTGTTTACTTGACTCTCTTTTCCTAATGTAGCAACCAGTATTTCCCCACACAGAGAATATAAATAATCAATGAACTGCAGCAGCAGAACGAAACATTAGCAAATAGCTACTATCCTCAGCCACAACTCCTTCGCTGTCACGCCCTGTAATGACGCTGAAACTGCACGCAAACGTGCATCCTTCAACCTTGGATTCCACACTGTAAACAGAAGCTTCCCTTCCAGCATCTTCTCTAAATCTGTTGCTTGTATTTTATGGAAAGATGCAGTCTGGGTTACTCTCCACAATAATCACGTCCTCACATAGAGTCATGTTTATGTCATCAACAAAAGAATTAAAAGGAAAACAGAGGCAGCTAAAGCTTAAGTGGTCTAACTACAAACAACGCCTGCAACTGCAACAGGACAGATAACGCTACGTGTTATTAGACTGCGCTCCACGACACTTTTTCAATTTCAGCACCTGCATTGCGGACAGCACCCCGAAATGAAGCCTCCGCTGGTCCTGGCGGTAGCTGCCAGAGGATCATTGTTTTAACGTTAATCTTCATCCAGAGACTTAATTCTCGACTTGACCTTCTTTATCTGTACCGAAGAATAAGAGAAAGTCGTAAATCAGGCCTGGCGAACGGTGGAAGTGAAAGGCTTCAAAACACCCCACTTTATGTGGTCTTTTTGACTCCGCGTGCTGTTGGATGCCATTGCTGCGTTTCAAGGGGTCATTACAAAGGCTGTCTTGCAACCAATGCTATGTGCGACTGTGGTCCAGGGAGGAGCTGACCAGTGTCCAGCAAACAGTACATTTTCTTTCTCTGGTGGGTCACACCAAACCACACTTTACAATCACCCAAAAACAGCCTGCTGCACGCACAAAGCAACCGACCAATCCTAGCATGAAGATGGGGTTTTATTTAGCTTTGTGGAGGTGGTCAGGTAAATTCGGGATACACTGAATACATCCAACAGGGCTTATCCGTACTTTCGATGAAAGTCCTGCAGCAATGCGCACACATTAGCAGGTGCCATGCCATTATTAACGACATTAAGGCTTTTTCTGACGTGGAATAGACAAAACAATTTAAAAGTTAAAATGTAGTTTTATTGAGTGTGTTTAGATTAATCCCAAATAAAACTGAAGCACACAAAAATTAGCTTCAGATAAACGAAACATATATTTTAATGTGCCGATAGCCTCCTTCGAATAAAACGGGGTAACTACGTAAGCTATGAGGCTTTCATTGATGCTAGCCTAGCTTAACTGCTAACAAGGCTACAACAGTACCTTGACGTTATATGGCGGAGAGCTTACCTTACAGCTAAAAATACTCGGCCGTCGAATATCTTCTAAAATATCGGGAAATGTGGATAAACAGACTAGCCACACCGGCTAAGCGCAGTCCGCCTTGTGGGGCATGTCAAGGATGCTGCTGTCAGGGGTTCGCCTCCGCTGGGTTAAAGAGAGGGGTGGCTGTGTCAGTTTCCTATCATCTCCCCGAGCTACTAGACAAAATAAAGCGGTGCATCATGGGAAACCTGAACGTTAAGCAATACAACCATAAAATGTTCCAGACCAGTGACTTTTGACCAGTTACATTAAAGGTTAGAATCACAGCTTGAATTTACGTGAGCTGAAACTAAGCAGCTCACGTAAAAGTAGAATAGAGTCTACTAACCTTTAAACGTCATTAAATGTGGAAGTAGCAGCTCTTACGGACGTGCCACCGTTTACGGGGAGAGCGTCGTCACCATAGCAACAGAAACTGTCACTTGTTAAGGGGTGAGGCGTACACGCCATCTAGTGATAGAGTCGAAGTAAGTAGTTGTTATGTCAGGTGTGACGTGTCATAACTTCTTGATGCTTATGATAGTTTATTCAGGCGCTAGGTTTGATTTTTAGTTATGTCAAAGCGCCTGGAATGCGTGAAAAAATAAAAATGAACGAAAGCTGTTGGACAGTACAGCTGCAGGGCAGCAGGGGGCAGTATTGCCCCTCAATTACTGTGTAGGCGGTAAAACAACAGCAACAGTTTTTTCCTTCCACTTTTCACATGTTTTGACATTCCACTCTCTCTATCTCGTTTTGGCTGCACTAACAGAGTCACACTCTCTAATCAACAATTAAAATGATCACTACCAAGTTCATCACATTAACACATAAAAACAGAATAAAGGTAAATTAACAAATATCTGTTCAAATTAGGAGAGAGCCAGTTGAGATTAAATGTGTTGGTCTTCCGCAGCAGCGTGAAGTCCTACTTGTGGCCCTTCTCAGCACTGCTGCTGTAATCTGCGGATCTCTGCATGCAGCCCCTTCAGCGTGTTGGCGTGGTCCTGCTGGAGGAAGAGCAGGTTTTTCTGTGCACTCTGCAACTGATTTTCCAGTGTTACATTTGCTGACGCCATGGTGGATTTTGTTCGGACACACAACTGGCCTCGCAACCTCCAGGCAGACATGACAGAAAGGAGACGAGGTAGAGACAAAATGATCACTACCCAGTTCATCACATTAACAAATAAAAACAGAATAAAGGTAAATTAACAAATATCTGTTCAAATTAGGAGAGAGCCATCAATATCAGATCTGATATAATGATTATCAAAGTCAAAGTCAGTGCTTCATGTAGCTTTGTCTGTCAGAAATTTTGTCAATGAATAACAAACATAAAAAACATAAAAAACATAAAAAAGTATTGATAATTCTATAAAATATATTAAATAATAGTTAAATAATAATCTCTTTTTATCCTCAAAATTGAGATCATGTGCATTCCTGTTTCTGATCATCTCTCAGATGTTTGTAAAACTTGATAGTGGTAAATTCAGTTAATTAGACATGATTTGGAAAGGCACACACTTGTCTATCTATGGTCCCATAGTTGACAGCGCATGTCAGAGGGCAAACCAAGCCATGAAGTCCAAGCAGTTGTCTACAGACATCTGAGTGTATCAAGGCACAGATTTGGGGAATGATACAGAAAAGGCCCCAGTCAGCACAGTAGCCTCCATTATCTCTAAGTGGAAGAAGTTTCAAACCACTAGGACTCTTCCTAGAGCTTGGCTGCCCGGCCAATCTGAGTGATCAGGGTAGAAGGACCTTAGTCAGGGAGGTGAACAAGAACCCAGTGGTCATTTTGACATTATTCCAGCATCTGTGGAAAGAGGAAAATCTTCCAGAAGGACATCTAGTTCTGCAGCACTCCACCAATCAGGTCTGTGTGGTCGAGTAGCCAGACTGAAGCTCCTCCTCAGTTAAAGGCACATGACAGCCTGCCAGGAGTTTGCCAGAAGACACCCAAAACACTCTCAGACCATGGTCACCAAATTTGTCTGGTCTGATTAAACAAAGATTAAACTCTTTGGCCTGAGTGCCAATCATATTTGGAGGAAATTTGGAGGCAGCACTATCATCTGGCCAATGCAATCCCTACAGTGAAGCATGGTGGTGGCAGCATCATGCCATGATGTTTTTCAACAGCAGGAACTGAGAGTCTAGTCAGGGTTGAGGGAGAGATGAATGCAGGTTCAGCAAGACAACAACCCTACAAGCTGCTGCAGTGTGGGATTTTCATGAGCTATTTTTTTTATAATAATAATAATAATAATAATAATAATAATAATAATAATAATAATAATAATAGTGGATTGCATTTATATAGCGCTTTTCGGGACCCCTCAAAGCGCTTTACAATACCACTATTCATTCACTCTCACATTCATACACTGGTGAAGACAAGCTACAGTTAGCCACAGCTGCCCTGGGGCAGACTGACAGAGGCAAGGCTGCCATATCGTGCCATCGGCCCCTCTGGCCATCACCAGTAGGCGGTAGCTAACATTCTCTCGTCTCCCCAGCAGGCAGGCATGATTTGGGTTTATTTTCTTTCTTTGAAAGGTCTAACCCACTGTGCATTTATCTGTGCAGACTCCACCAAACCCCTTCTATTGTCTGAACTTTGAGTCAGTTCATGACACCCACTTTGACTGATGTTTCTACTCTCACTAGCCACTTTATTAGGTACAGTTGTTCGGCTGCTTGTTAACGCAAATGTCTAATCAGCCAATCACATGTCAGCAACTCTAAATATGCAGACATGGTTAGAATGTGGAAGAAAAATCATTTAAGTGACTTTGATTGTGGTATGGTTGCTGGTGCCAGAAGGCTGAGTGTTTCAGAAACTGCTGAACTACTGGGATTTTCACACTCAATTGTCTCTAGGGTTTGCAGAGAATGGTACAAAAAACAGAAAATATTCAGTAAGTGGCAAGTCTCCAGGGGAAAATGCCTTGTTTCCAGACTGGTCAGACTGCTTTAAACTGCAGTAACACAAATAACCACTCGTTTGCAGAAGAGCATCTCTGAATGCACAATCTGTTGAACCGTGAAGCATCAGCAGCAGAAGATCACACCTGGTGCTACTCCTTTCAGCTAAGAACAGGAAACGGAGAATACAGGCAGCAACTTGTTGAATCTATGGAAGCAGTGCTGAAGCTAAAAATCCAGCCCAGTCCTGGTAAGGTGTACCTAATAAAGTGGTCAACAAGTCTATATTATATTGGCAGAACTGGCAGAATTTCCATCAACCTAACTGCATTTCAATGGTATGATATGTATGTTTATTTACAGTGCTATACCGATAGAAAGTGTGGTTGGTTTGTCTGAAAGAACTAACTGTGGAAACTGTTGTACCAAGTGTGAAATAAATGAAATGAAATTTAATGTATTTTGTTTCATTCATTAAAATATAATTTTCCAGAGGAATAAATGAACCTTGTCTAATCCCACGTGATATCAGCAAGTTTGACTTAACTTTGCCCAGGGTGTAGTGGGGAAACAGTAGCCTTTTCATTAGTGACCCCAAATATCACTTTAAATTATTTCTGGCTGGGTAAATTCCTCAGTGACACAGCTACTGAGTGAAATGATACAAAACAAAAGCAACAATTTTCATTCCCGACCTGAGAATGAGTCTCGCATGTACAAAAACAAAATATCGTGTGGTATAACTGAAATTATTGTCCAATCTCCAGGAATGTTATTTTTTCGGAAGCGGCCTTTAATATCTCCCTGGCTTTGGCGTGTTTGCGATAGGGATTAAATTTTTCTCATTTCTTTATTTTTAGTGAGTTTGGCACGCTTCCCAGCTTCCCACAGAAAGTAACCAATTTAAAAGAAGCAAAGTTATCCTCGCACCAGCAAAAATAATGTGAAAAATAATTCCCCAACAGAGACCCCTATACCTTCTATGTGATTTGTTTTACTTGCACATTGCCTGAGGCCTCCATACATCATAACTGGTAGTTAAAGAATCTCGTTGAGAGAAACTAACCAAATAAAACATGCAGGATTGACTCGGGACTCCTGCAATTCTAACCGCTGTTTTTCTTTTTGGCCTTTGCCTGCGGGGGATCCACTGACCAAGGCGTCTCTCCCACTTGAGGCGTCCACAGTGGCTTTTCCTTTAACAATCATCAGCTGCAATTTCATTTTTTATTGATCATCTGTTTTGTTTTTTAATGACAAAACCTAGGAAATGCATTCTTTCGAACACAGTAATATTTCCAAGTGATGGTGCACAGACAGTACTGGAAGGTACCCAGGCCCAAAATGGCATACTGATGGAAAAGCAATGAACTTCTTAGCACCAATCACACTTATGCTATTTTTTATACAGCGGACAAAGAAATGATACCATTCCTCATTCTTACACGTGTGTTGTTGGTAATGCCTCTGGATTATTAACAGATTGCGCCGCTTCTCATCAGAGAAATACAAATGAAACGTCAACCTGTCTCAAATGGCACTGTTTTACTGCCCCTGCTCTGACAAGCTGCCAACACCAACACTTCTCAGTTTGTAATAGTTTTACAGTTATTATATTGAGGTTGGCAAGGCAAAACGCAAAGCTCTGAAAACCTAATTTGATTTTCCAGGACCCTTTTTTTTCTTTTTCTTTCTTTTTTTTTGCCTGCTTAAAAGAAGACAGTCATGAAAGTGTGATTTATGTAAATGCTTCCAAATGTGCCAACTGCACTTTTATAATGCTACATTTAACGCTTGAGATAACAGCATCTGAACGTAAAATGCAACCACGCTTATAGTCAAAAACTAGTCTGCATACAGATATATGTAGCCTTACAAAAGCAGTGGTGCAGGCCTTTTTATGGGGCAGATCCCTGTGTTTTACTCATCTATTCAGTCATTTAAAGATATTTGCACTGTTTTTTTTTTAATCACTCGGTCATAGTGGACCCAGAGGTTTTCCTGCTCATACAGAATGTACAGTGTGAAAGTGCTGGTAGCATCTGGACTTTATATGAGGCCATTTGAAAATAAAGTGGCAGAATATGTGAAATGAGCACTTAAAGTAAAGGTTATTTCAACAGCAATCAGCTTCTCTGACAAGTTTAACCGTCCAATTTGTTCATGACAAATTTACTAGCTGACAAAACACAGGTGAACACAGAGAGGAAATTACAGCCAGCATGTTACATAGGACCCTCATGGAAAGCCCTGCTATAGAATCATTACACAGCCACTGCCAAAATGTCACCGCATTCATTCTAGTAATGAGGCTGGACTTCATAAAACTATGTTTTCTATGCAACCTTTTTTTTCCTTTTATAGTCCAGAGAGAGCAGCGTACTCAGTGCCATTTAAAGTGATACTTCAATTACCAATGGTTAATAGACCCTTACACCAGACTTTGAAGTGGCTGTAACTCACAGTGCCAACTTCAGCAGGAAAAACGTGGGCCATGCATGGTTTACTCCTCCCACTCACACACACACACTCACACACACACTAGTACGAGACAGTGTGATAAGATACAGATGTGACTAAAATGAACTAATGAGATTGCGAGGGCTCACTGGAAAAATCAGAGGGACGCAGTTATGGAAAATGCCCCCCGGGAGTTTTGATGTTTTTTTAACAGTTAAATTAATACACAATATAGGAGTATTTAAAGTTAAGGAAGTTTATTGTTTATAAAGCCACTTTATGGTCATATTTTGTAATGAATGATGTACTGTATTCCAAAGTTAGAATAAACTTCTTTTTTCTCAGACAGGTCACAGTTATGCAGTGATTCTCTGTGAAAACACAGAATCGGTAGCTTCTGAAGAGTCTGTGGTTTTGTAGATAAAATTTAGGCCCCAGAAACTTTCTGGTTTATAGTCATAGTTTGTTCGTAAAGCATTCATATTCGGGTAGACTTTGGCCGAGTGCAGATTAACAAACAGATGACGACAAAAGCATGAAGGGACTGCATTACCATGAGAAATCATCTAACGATGATGTAGTTCTTTTTTAGCCTTCATTTTATTCAGTGGTTTCAAACATCAGGCCCAGAAGTCAAAACTGATCCAACAAAGACTCCATTTGAGCCCACTGGACAGCTTTATGCTTGTATGAATGGGTAAATTACGCATGTTGTGTGAAGTGTTTTGAGTGCACAGGTAGAGTAGAAAA